TAAGTTTACTTCATCTAGTAAAACCCAATGCCCCTCCCTGAGGGCAGTCACAAATGCACCTTCAACAAATGTAAAAACCATTCCACCTGAACGAATTTGTTGATAAATCTTCTCCACTTTTTCGGAAAGACACATCCAATTCTGTTCCGATTTCTTCCTCTTTTTACCTGTTCTAAACATCGCTAACACAGTTTTCGTAGTTCTCTTTAACCCCCTCAAAAGTGTATCCCACTTTTTGGCTCTAAAATTTACTTGCAGGTCTTTCATTACTTTTGAATCATCCTGGACACCAAAAACGAAAAGGACGCATGACTTAAGCAAAATGCTAAATTCATTCCGAAACATAACTGGTTAGGAACAAGTGCAGGAGGAAATCTACGAGAGAGTTACTTAGTTTTAAATGTAAAGCTACCTTAATCTTCAAATCTCTTGCCAATTCATTGTACAGCATTGTGCACATAAGCTTTGCATCAATAGGCTTAAATCCTCCCAATAGATCAACTATATCACTTTGCTGGCTCAAGTTCTGCAAAAAGAAAAATTAGAAATAATAGAAAACCACTAAGATAAACAGGTCACTAAAAGAATGTAAGTCAAAACACACCAAAACAGTGAGTTTCTGTCCGATCCAGTGTGCAAGATTTTGAACTAAAGTAGTTTTCCCAGTCCCTGTTTCTCCTACTAAGAGAACTGGCTCGTTGTACTCGACAGAGCGAGCTATTTTCTCAAGTAACTGTGTTGATGTGCGTGTTTCAACAAACCTCGACCGATCATGTGACTGAAAAAGAAAAAAAGGCATCACAATAAGAGGCTGTAACAGATGAATATTTGTATCAAAAGGAAGGAGATGCTTAAAACTAACCGCAGTTACATCAAGTGGAAGAGAAACTCTGCCAATTTTTAGAATCCCAGAAAATTCCTGCAGTTCTGTGAGAAATTAAGAAACAACCTCTAAGCAGCATAGACAAAACACTGTCAAGAACACTAAGGTACCTGAATTGGGGGCTTATGCTGAGATTCCGGAACGGCAACATTCCAAATGCTAGCCACAATTTCAAATACTGTCACTTGATTTTGAGTTGACATATAAGACGCAGAGAATATATCTGCTGCCTGAGGAAAAGGCACACAAATGCCA